AAAAAAAAAGTGCTTTACACGCACAATTACTGAGCGTGTGTATCATCGGTTGTCAGGTTGAGCATGTTCGGCATACCTTAGGCAGGTTGTCTTTGTACTGACACTGCTTGAAGGCGTCACCGTAGAAGTCTGCCGCTTGATTGGACAGCTTGGCGATGATGGCGTCCTTCATCCTGTCTGAATACGACCACAAGTTTTTTGGTTTTTTTTAACGCTGCATGTGTGCGCAAAAAAATCCCTTCTAATTGATGCTTCCCCCCATCTGCACTTGAGTAAATAAACAACCCCCGGCCAACATCTTGTTGCGAAAATATGGTCATGCACAACTCCGGAGACAGAACTGGGCCACAAGCTGGATCATTGTGATGATAAATGTCCCCTGGTGGCTAATTAAAAACGCTGCATGGCTCCCAAAAGTAAGATGCTAAACATAACAGGAAGATAGTGGTTCTGATTTTAACAGCGGGAATAAATCAAATGGGTTTGTTTTACCTGTGGTGGCTTTGAGGAAGAAGACCTCCTGGGCCTGCGCCAGCATGATGATGCTGAGGGTGCCCACCGTTTCGGGGGCTATGTCCATGGTGGGCTCACGGTTGAGGGCCGACAGCACCGTGTCTTTGATGTGGCCGAAGGCGCCGCTAGCCAGCTGCGCAACAAAACACGGTCACATTCAAGATGTCCTCCAAAACAACATACCTGAGAGGGTCCACTCTATTTCAGTTAGTGTGTCAGCAGAAAATACTTCTCGACAAACTTCCTCCGAATTAACCAGAAGGGTGGCGTGAAGTTGAATGCAGATCTGACTAAATTTATGAATCAGGGAATTTATTTCGACTTTTAATGACTATAGTCGACTCAGAGCATCCATACGAGTGGGTCTGCGGCATGCTAAATCACCTGATAATATTTGGCGGCGTTTTTGAGGCCCTCGTCGTTGTCCAGGTTCTGTTCGGCGGCGATCTGGCTGGCCAGCGCTGCGGCGTTGAACAGCACGCATGTCTTCTCGTAGCCCAGGCTGGCCAACGCTGCGAAACATGGCACACATTTTAGCCTCGCAA